GTGTGTGTGTGTGTGTGTGTGTGTGTGTGTGTGTGTGTGTGTGTGTGTGTGTGTGTGTGTGTGTGTGTGTGTGTGTGTGTGTTTCGGCGTATTATTGTTTCGCGAAAATTTTTCCCGAACAGATGATTGCCCCATATTTTGCAGAAACAACAAATCGTCTCGTCGAAATATAACACACAATGGGAAACATGTCAGTTCACGCATGCGCCACGCCACCACCGCCGTATGCACCTCACGCGCACACGGTTTCTTCAGCTATTGCTCGTAGAATGCAGACCACGGAGATCTCGCACACGAACAATGGAGAAGAACAACTACCGCATCGGAGGCGCCATCTATCCGACGTTGATGTAACGATTTATGCGGGAAATGGGACCGAACAGCTACGAACACGAATTCGTCAAGGAAACGAAGCATACGTCAGCGTATCAAGGGGCTTGGTCAATGCAGCACAGGTTGCAAGCATGCATGCACGTTGTACTTAGTTATATATGTTAACCTCCGTATATCTGTGAGTGGCGCCAGACGGCTGTGTTAGGTGGCCAAAATACGAAGTGTTCTTTGATCTAGCATCCTGAAAATAATTCGTAAGCAGTCGGTTAGTCGTTGTGCGCACGCGCACAAGCACGCGATAACAATTGAACGTTCCGGAGTTTAAGATTAAAACATGGCGGCCAACGCTGTTAGTTCATTTTCGTCTGCTAATAGTGGCTCCATCTATATGCGTCTTGCTATATCCTATAAATCTCATATGCTTGCTTGTCGGCTGTTATTGTGTTAAAAACGAGCCGGCAGGCTCTGGTTAGCAAGTTAATTAAACTGATGTTAAGAAATGTAGAAGCTGAAAATAAACGTGTGATACAGACATGTGATAATAGCTTGAGACTGACAGATAGACACAGCTATTGAATAATTCGTCGCACTCTCTCGCCCCTTCCCCTTTCTCTCTCTCGTTCTCTCTCTCTCTCTCTCTCTCTCTCTCTCTCTCTCTCTCTATCTATCTATCTAACTTATCTCTCGCTCTCTGTTTCCTTCTCTCTATATCTATCTATCTATCTATCTATCTAACTTTCTTTCTTTCTATCTATCTGTCTATCTGTCTATATGTCTGTCTACCTATTTTTTTTATTTTAACTCTCTTTCTTTCTCCTGCGCTCGCTCACTCTTTCTCTTCACTTCATGCGTCCCACCCTCTAATCCGATTGTCCCTGAGCCACCTACACTATGAGAGCATCCCCTCCTATATATATCATAATCCACCATAACTATGAGCATATGATTTAGGAGCGTCTCGTAATGCCGATATAAGTGATTGATCGCTGGCCTGTAACCGCATTACCATAGTGACAGAGACGCTATGCATCGCAGCGCCACCTGTATTCAGCGACACGAGGTTTATTAACAATGATATCTGATTGGAACACTCGATCCACCGATCTGCACGTATGTTAATGAGGATAGAGTCAAGTCTGCTTGACTTATGCTAATTTTCCTTCAATGCTTTTCTGATTATCAATGGCAAAGCTATAATGAGTGAGACGGACGTGAAACATTGGGGGGGGGGGGGCGTGTAGCTGTGTGTAGGTATGTGAGCATATGTGAGATACGGACAGAGGCTGAGGTGGAGTTAGGTGCTTGGGTGCGTGTTGGGGTGTGTGGAGATGGGGGTGCGTGTACGGGTGTAAGTGTAGAATGATGTAGGTGTATGTGTAGATGTGAGTGTAGGTGTGGCTGTGGCTGTGGGTATGCGTGTGGGAAAGACCGGTGACAGAAACGCTGCCAAGCTACGAGAATGAAAAATCCTAGCAGATTTTCTCATAACAATACGAAACAAAGTGATGTCGACGGTCTAGGAGAAATTGTTAATGTTAAGACTAATGTTAAGACTAATTTTGTTTCTGACAACGGGCCCAAGGTCATTGGGACAACAGAAGCAGGGAATGAGTACTGCGCCATTACGGACTCTATAGACTGTGGTAAGAGTAAAATTATGAAAGAGTGAGTGAGCGAAAAAAGATATAGAGAGAGGGAGAGAGAGAGAGAGAGAGAGCGAGCGAGAGAATGGAAGAGAAGCGAGAGATGGAGTCAAAGAGCAAGCGAGAGGGTGAGAGAAAGAGAAGAAAGAGAGGGAGAGAGCAAGAAAGGAAAACGAGAGAGAAAGAGGGAGAGAGAGGAGAAGAAAGACCGCGAGAGTGAGAGAGAGAGAGAGAGAGAGAGAGAGAGAGAGAGCGCGCGTGCGAAAGAGACAAAGCGACAGGGTGATAGAGAAGACAGAGAGACAGAGACAAGGCAGAGAGAGAAAGAGAGAGAGACAGACAGAAAGAAAGTGAGAAGAGAGAGAATGCAGAAAGAAAGCGAGAGAGAGAATTCCGAGAGAGAAGGCAGAGAAAGAGAGAAGAGCGAGAGAGAGAATGCAGAAAGAGAGAAAGAAAGGGAGCTACGTAGGTAGACTCAGACACACGCGGTTAGCTCGCTATTAGCAGGATGGGTGTCGCGTGGCAGCCCCACCACCCCACCCTCATCCCTACCACCCCCACCACACTCGCTGCTCTCGCACGCACGCCACGCGTTTATATATATATACACACACACACACACATATATACGTGCGCGCGTATATATATATATATATATACGGGGCTTGCCCTGCCAGCAGACATATATACATGTACCCCTATGCCAGTTCGTATAATACACACGGGACGTGTTGTTGTGGATACACATGACGGCAACAAGCGTACAGTACATGGCGCCCCTCGCTATTGCGATGTATAATACATGCTGTGCTCACTAATGACTTAATGGCTGAAAGATCATTTCTTATGTAACGCTAGTGCGCCTCGCATCTGTTGTCTTACCCATCCAGCCGCTAGCACGTACCCACCAGTCATCCATCCAGCCGCTAGCACGTACCCACCAGTCATCCATCCAGCCGCTAGCACGTACCCACCAGTCATCCATCCAGCCGCTAGCACGTACCCACCAGTCATCCATCCAGCCGCTAGCACGTACCCACCAGTCATCCATCCAGCCGCTAGCACGTACCCACCAGTCATCCATCCAGCCGCTAGCACGTACCCACCAGTCATCCATCCAGCCGCTAGCACGTACCCACCTAGCT